CGAGGCTCTCCTCTTTTGAGGGCTAAACTTAGGAATTGAATTCCAACAAAAGTGGGGGAGGTTTGGTAATAAGAAAAATACACACTATTAATTTTATATTTACAGAGGGGCCTGAGTTACAGGGGTATTGGCTGTGCCCTCTAATATCAAGAACTGTGAAAACAGGGGTATTTTGAAGTACCTGATAATATGTTCCTTTATAGTAAAGGAGTATTCTCAGAAGAAAACCTACGGCTGAAGTGTTTAAGTAAATAATATTTACTGATACTTATTTCCAAGCCAATGGGAACTTCGGGAGGGGGTAAACTGTTCTTGAGGTGCTTAGAAAGGTGGTTGAGAGGTGTGGGAGGAGTTCTGGGGCAATCGGTTGGTTGGTTGGTTTGTTGATATTCATGTGGAAAACAGCAGGAACTGGGTCAAAAAGCAGGTTGAAACTGGTTATTGAGGTTGGTTCTTACTGTCAAGTGATGATGAAGATGGGGAATCAAAGTTTAGGGGTGAGGGGCAAGAAGGGGTCCTTAAAAAATAATTCTGAGCCCCTGGAGGCAAACTCAGGTGTCTATCTGGATGGTGTAGCTCTTCTACTAAGCCATTGGAACCTTTAGATCAGCTATGGCACCTGGAGGGCTTGGTTACAGGTGTTATAGCAATGATGCAATGATTGTAACTGGGTTTACTAGGTTTCCTGACGAAATTGTAACCCCCATTTAACCCATGAGATCCTTGGATTGTGTGTGGGATGATTCTTGACAGAGAGCAATTGTCCCAATGGGTCCAAAAGGGTCACAGATCACCCAACACCAAGAAAAAAAAATGATCACTTGATGACAAGTGACATCAGCCCAAGTCCAGCATGTTGCCCATTACATACCCAGCTCAACTCTTCCTCAGCCCCCTGTAGCACACAAAGGCACTATTGTATTTGTGTTGCAGCAGAGTTGGAGCTACAGTGGAGCAGTGATCACTTTTACATGGTTTCACTTGCCATCTAGTGAGCATTGATTCTTCCTGGTGCAAACCAGGTTGGTTACAAGGTCTGTGCTCTTGTATTTCAGGTTTCAATGATGAAAAACTTGTTTTTAGATTTTTCCCAAACTGTGTGAAACTTAATTAAACATTTATCACTTCTACAACCTGTAGTATGATGTGACTGGGAGGGTTCAGCATGTAAAAGAGGTCTGGTGTCCCTCAGGTATCACAGAAGTATGCGAAGGAGTGGTAATTAAGGGGTATCTTTGGTGGGGTACCCTAGGTTAATTTACCTATAGATTCAGAATATGCAGTAATATTCTAAGTTTCTCTCAATTTTTAGAATTTATTTGCAGATTCTTTGTTAAAATGTTTATTTTTAATGTTTTTTATATTATTTTGGGCATTAATAAAAAAAACACAGTTTTTCCGCGTCTACACGCGGTTTTGCAGCAGCGCTGCGCTGCGCAGCACACGTGGATTCCACGTTTGGACGCATTTTTTGAATTAATTTTTAACACCTTAATTTTTATTATTTTTTTAAATTTTAAAGTTGTTTCCTACACTATGAATTTAATGGTAAAATCCAATGTGAAAAAAATGAAGGGTTCATTTTTAATACTGCAATTAGACACTTTTTTCAATTAATTTTTTACAGCTTAATTTTCATTATTTTTTGACATTTTGAATTTCTTCTTACACTTTCAGACATGTAGAAAATTATGGTAAGAACCATTTTGCCTCAAAATGAAAACTTTTTCTTGAATATTGCATTCAACATGTTTTTTAAATTAATTCTTACCAGCTTATTGTTCATTATTTTTTGGAATTTTAAATTCATTTCTTACATAATCAGAGGTTTAAAAATTTATGGTCTTATCCATTTTGCATAAAAATTAAATTATTACTTCTAATATATGAGCTTACCCCATTTTTTGCATAATTGTTACCAGATACAAATTTTATTTCTCTCCAAAATGGATAAGACCATGTATCACTGTCTTGATGTAAATAATTTATGACCAATGTGATTCTATGGAAAGTGTTGTACCACAATTGTGGCCTGTAGCCATATACGTTGGTATTCCCTACGATGCAAAATGTGTATTGTGTTTTTTGCAGTGTTAGCCCATGCCCAATAAAACTGTTTTTAAAGAAAATTAGGAGGGGGAGGATCTGTGACTGTTAATGGAACCATGAAAGAATTAAGGGGAATGCAAAATAGGTAACATGACCAACCCACTGCATTGAATGTTTTGATTATCACTCTCAAAAACTTGCATGGTGTGAAATGAAAAAAGATTTTCTCCTGCAGTGATTTGCTTTTATTTTTTCTTTTATTTTCTTTTGGGTCCCTCCAAATTTTCACTACAGAGATCATATAGTTGCTATTTGAGCCACTCAAGTTCATAGAGTTTATATGGTTTAAATGTGACTGTGTTCATTGCAGGTTTCAAAGTGATGAGAGGCACAGTTTTGACTTGCAAAGAATGTTTGATTTGGGCAGTGTTTTGGGCATTGATGTACTTCGCCTGATAAGAATGTGTCACATCGCTTGTTTCTTTCATACAGGTTACAATTATTGCATGAATATCTTTCACCACATTGGTCTAATATGTTAGGAAATTTTGCTAGGGTTTCACAATCTTTAGGGCATATTCCTGTACTTGTTAAAGGCATGAAGTTCACAGCCAGAAGTATGAGTGTCTTTCCCAGACATTTCTTGTGAGTAAGTCTCATGTTTGACAAATCTAGCAGTTGGGACTCAATGGGAATTGAACCAAGGGTTGTGGAGTTTTTTTCCAGCCAGACAAGGACAGTTTGATAAGATTTTCCTATACTGTTCAGAGAAGTTGTTGACAATGTTCATGCATCTTTTACATACTTAAACCTTTTCTTTTTCTCCTAGCCTCAATCAATTCAGTGTTCTTTCACATTTTTGGAGCTTCATTTCATACAGAATCATTTGGGATCTATCCTTTGTAACCTTTCTCCCTTGGCTTTTTATCTGTTGTAAATCTTCATGAGTCAAACCTGCAAATCCCAATTTTCCCTTCCATGGCTGGGAGGAATTCCTACTATATATACCAGAAATCAAGGACTGTCCCTTGATGGCTAGGAAGGAAGCTTGAAGCACTCCAATCTCTTCCTTTTTTCCATTTCTCCTGCTGTCTTGAGAAAATTCAACAACAAAACTCACATTTATGTTTTAAAATTGGATTTTGATTCACAGGCTAACCACCATGTAGTAATATCTGGCAAAAATATGAGAATTTCAGCAACAAAATTGATGAAGAGTTTAGGGCCAGTACCACAGCACCCAGACCAATTTTCAATACATTTTTTGCATTTTGGGTTTTTCACAACCCAAAATTCAATTCTGGTTTTGCACCAAAAATTTGGGAATCTAGGAATCAGGATGATATATGGTACACCATATCCATCAGATCCCCTGGAAATCGGAAAAATTGATGCAGTGGTACAGGGTTTAGAAAAACATGCAAGATTTCATAAAAACCTCTGGAAAAAACAACCTCCAAAATTTGGAACACCCCCAGGGAGGACAAAAGAGGCTTGGGACACTGGCATGGAGTCAAGATGTTGCCCTATGAAACGGTAGGCATTTTCAGTAAGAATAATAGGGTTTGGGTGTGGTACACACCAAAGAAGAATCTCTATTTGATAATTTAACTCTTAGGCCACTTTTGTAATGTCAGTGGTGTGTGCAGGCATAATATGAGTGAAATCCACCGTCAAATTTTGTGGGTATTTCACACATTATTATTACGCTGCTACATTGCACTAACAAACAGGGCCTTATCCATATTGTTACCCTTGAGTCTGATATTCTCACTAATACAATCTGTTGGAAAAACAGTTCTCAGCATCTCACTTCATTTCAAAATTTGAAAACCCAAGTTCAATTATGGATTGACTCAAGAGATGCACTCAACTGACCAGTCTCAAGGTAGTGATGTGGTTACCTTTGAAAGGGTCTGTGGTTGGATGTGCAAATAGCTGTCCTGCTTGCTTCTCCCTTTGATGAAAGGTCTCCCACAAAAGAATTGTGGGCTAATCGTATTGGACTTTCAAGAGACAAATTCCCCTGTGTGAATAATCAGAACCAAGGAAGCTTGCTGGCCTTTAGCCTGCTTGAGTGATTTGATCACATGAAGGATGGTAAGCTCTCCAAACCCCCCAAAATCACGCCTTGTACATACAACATATCCGCAAAAAACCGATGATTATCGCATACGAGAATGCCAAGCTCCAAAGGAAATCAGATTTCCTCGAGTTCCTATTGGCTTCAACTGGAAAACCCTTCCCTTGCCTTTGGTCACGCTTTTTCTCTCCTCTGTCAGCGTGTTTAACTTTATCATCTCGAGTCTGAGCTTTTCCCTCATTCTCTTGGTCGCTATCCTTCTCTTGTATTTTGAAAAAACTTGTTAAAGTCTGGTGTAATCCAGTCCTATGCGGCGAGTTCCTTGACGTCAGTGATGATGATGTTGCTTAGGTTCTTTATCTCGTAGTCACATCAGACCAGATAGGGCTAGACCGATTCCTTCAGTTGACTCACAGACCGGTTGAATGAATGTATTCAGCTCTCCATTCAACAGAGATGGACCACAGGTTAGTCCCGTCAGCGGGGCCCAACTGACCGGTCCCAAATGTCCTCAGTCAATCGCACCCCTGGCTGAACTGAGCAAGATAAACAACACGGTGAGTTGTCCACCGTGAAGACTGCAATATTTGGATCTATTGGTCGATCGCCCAGGAGCACAAGACCTTGAGGGTATAAGAACGCAGCTGGTCAAGTGGTCATTCTGAGTTTCCATCTCATCAAACATTTAATTCAATTTTGTAACATACTCAGATCATTAAGATCAACCACATTCCTTTTTTATTGCTTTTCAAGCTGCCATATATTCACACATAATCCGATTACCTCCTACAAAACCTTTACCTGAGTCGTATTCTTCAAGACCGTAGGCAACCATCAACTCATAACTCTTCATCAACTCGGCGACACCATGAATTCCTTTGCTTTCATGAGCATGCTCTTGTTTTCCTCGACGACGCTTGGCATGCCAAATGGATACTCATACACCAACTATCCCAGTCAAGCTTCGGAATATTATTCAGTCATGTATGGAGATGCACCTCACTACGATAGCGGTTATTTGGACAACCAACCATCGACCGATACCTACTGGGACCCGACACTGGCGCCATCCTATCCTTACGGACGTTCAGTCTCTATCTCAGGTGCAGATATGAAGGTGAGCGAAAAGACTTGTCTTGTCACTTCCTCGTATTTTGATCAGCAACTTATCAAGGGTTCATTTTCAAACACTGCAGACAGATCCATCTCCGTCTTCCGGGAGTATCCCAGCTGGTGGTGACCCCAGTCACACTCCAGCAGGAGCTAGGAGCAGCGCCGGTCTTCTCTAGACAAAGAGCCCACTGGATGCGCTCACCTCTTCAACGCGGGAAACCAGCACAAAGCGACACTCAAAATGACCTATAGGTTTCAACTGAAAAAAATCCTTATAGATAGATCTGTTAATCGCTATTGTAAATAAGTGACATGGGATTAATAGAGATACCATATGGATGGCTAGAAAGAACCAGATAAGAAGAAAAACATACTCGGAAACGTTTTGAGGGATTGTTCTGATAATTATTTAATAATAAATCCAACTAGACGAGCTTTTCTTTGCCTGAGTTGATAAATTTGATATGGAAGCGGGCTAGCTCCACATACATGGAGTTCAGAGACCATGTAAACAAGCTGAACATGACTCATGAGCATGTCCTGCAAGCTGGAATTTGGACAGGATTATAGAAGCTTACAGACCAGAATACTGCAAGAATATTCTCGCTGTGGTCAATTTCCACAAGTTAATTTTTCGATGTGGATAGTGAAGGAAACAAATACATACGTCCTACTCCCCTCCCCCCCTCCAAGTAGAGACATTTTCAGCTAACTTAACAAAGTCCCTGCCCCCATTTGTCGGAGTGGTAAACCACTTGTGGCATGGCGCTGACCGGAGGAGGGTCAACGCGGGACAGCGTCCGTCTCCAATTGGAGGAACTTTGGCCAAGTTGGCATTCTCAGTCTCGCCAAGATTGATATTTTGGACATGTTGAGCTCAAGGTTTCCTGTAGGATGGAAATCGATTTTGATGTCGGTTGTTCGAGGACAGTCGAGGACCAGGGAGGTTCAAGTTTTCAACGGCCCATCTCATTCTCAAGGATGTCCCAAAATGTCACTTGCGATTATCGTGACACCCAGGCTAACTGGAGCTGTCACAGCCATGGGCCACGTTTTCCTTGTGTCGTCACTGGCCTCGACTCTCTGCGGATTGCTTTGACAACAGCTTGGAATCTGTTGTTGACCATTCTTACTACAACATTTTCGTCGCCAGCACAACTTCTTCTTATCTTTCTTGGAATCTCCTGCACCCGGTTGCTGCCCATCACATCCTCACAATCAGGCGGTCTCGCTCGAAGCTCAAAACCTCTTTCAAATACGAACTGCTACCTTCGATATTTCGGTGCGACGGCGATCGATCTTCGATACTTTTGCTCATTTATTTCGATTTGATAGACGTCATCCCACTATCACCACCATCATGCATCGCTTCAAACCAATCATACTCTACACTTTGCTCGGCTTCGTTGGATTGATAATCGTCATCAGCTCTACCATCGCACTCGATCAGGATTCACTTTCGGACCCAGTACCACTGCAATCAAAACCACAAGGCTCCTCAAACTCGGACTTATCTTCATCGGGACGAACCCGAGAGCAGGAAGGTAAGATGACCACATTGCATGCTTTTTTTCGGAATTCTTGATGGCGATAAAAATCTGACGTCGATCATTCTTTTACGAATATTCCACCAGGCCTCGCACTGTATAATCGAGCCCTGCGACTATTGAACCATGTTCAATCTCATTCAAATCTAGTCCCTCCCCGCACCTCGCTGCATCCACCTCTCTCAATCCTTTCGCCCTCCTCTTATGCACCCCTCCTCGAAGATATCCCATGGCTTAACCGAGGTGTTTTTTCATTCTTCCTGAAATTACTGCGCAAACCCTCCGATTCATCAAGCGAAGATAATGACAATTCAACCAGAAGAGACCCTAAAAAACCAGCCCTGCTGCTCGTACTCGGATTCCCCAAGAGAGTTTTCGATCGCTTTGGACGTACCTCAGCTCGGATCACGAAGAACGGTATGAAGTCGAGTTCAGCAAAAATTCTCGGTCAGAAGGAGGCTGAAGAGGCCACTTATCGAGCTATTGAACACTTGAACAAGTCAGCTTTCGAGTACGGCAATTTGGATGCCGGCATGACGTTGGGTAACATTTGGTTATGGGGCGGAAATCCACCTAGTGTCATTCCACGGGATCCTCGTAAAGCAATGGACGCTTTTGAATGGGTTGCCAACCTCTCCGGAAACGCTACTGCTCAAGCAAACCTGGCATTTCTATATGCCACTGGTTATGGCGGCGCACTTGGTCACAATCTCACGCATGTGGGCGATCAGAGCAAAGCATTACTCTATTACACATTCGGGGCTCTTGGTGGCGATTACGCTGCTGAAATGTCACTGGGCTATCGCCATTGGGTCGGAATCGGTACTCCACAGAGTTGCCGTGAAGCACTACCCTTTTACAAGAGTGCAGCTGAAAAATGTGAGCATCAGTGTACCTAATGCCACCTTAGTTCAATCTAATATTCCAATTGTACTTTGCTTCTTACTGATTCAGCCCTCTTCCTATTATTAAAGCTATGCGGACTTTTAATGCTGGACCACCAGGTGGCCGACACATGCCACCCACTAAAGTACGACTTTCGGATCACGATGGCGGGGTCTATGGTCCTGGCGCTTCCGTCGCCTCTTCAGGGAATAATAAAAACCAACATTCGCCTCAGCAGCCCTCGACTGTCCAAGCTTGGAATGATGTCCTGGAGTTTTATCGTATGTAAAACAATCTTTGATTGCTGGGTTTGATTTTTGGGACTTTCAGTCCTCATATTCTATTCTTTTTTTAGAGTTTCACGCCGACCGGGGAGATGCCACTTTTATGTTTCGCCTGGGGCGGATATATTATTACGGTTTTGGCAGTGCTGGTGATAGCATTCAAGATTTTGCCTTGACCAATGGGCGTAATTATTTGAAATCATTCAAATGGTTCAATCGAATTGTTCGTGCTGTATGGCCCCGTGATCCAGAAGCAGCGACATCCCCGAATGGACATGCATACCAGAATAAGCAAGGTCAATGGCAGACACCTACAGTTGGGACTTACGACGCAACTAAGGATCCCAAACAGCCCGTCGATGAAACCCATTTAGTTGCTGCCGGACTCTCTGCTGGCTACTTGGGTCGGATATACTTGCGCGGAGAAGGCGTCCCGCGCAATAATGCCAAAGCATTCCTTTGGTTCAGTCGAGGTGCAAGCCAAGTAAGCTCTCGAACAGGCCACTACCTTTTTTATTCTTCTAAACACACCCAAACTCACATGACGGTCTCTGTAGGGTGACCGCGAGTCTCACAACGGCCTTGGAATCATGTATCGTGATGGATTGGGTGTACGAAGGAACCTTGAAAAGGCTTTGGAATACTTCCAACTAGCCTCCGATGCCGAACTCGCTGACGCAAACGTGAACCTTGGGAAATACTACATGGGTCAGTGACATCATGAACGCTCTTTATTTTATTTTATTTTAAAAAAAATAGCGGGGTCGTTAATCTATCTTGTTACTTCCTCCTGCCTTTACAGGTGTAGATCCTTTGAATGCAATTCCTTACTTCGATAATGCCATCAAGAATGGCGATACTTATCAATCTTACTACTACTTGGCAGAAATCAACGCTTTGAATGCGGGACAGACCAATAAACCCGAGTTCTGCCCGATTGCAGTTGCATTTTACAAACGAGTGGCTGAACGAGGCGATTGGTTTCAAGAAGTTTTCTGGAAAGCTGAAAAGGCGTGGGCCGATGGCGACGAAGTAACTGCATTGCTTGGTTTCTTGATGATGGCTGAACGTGGCTATGAAGTTGCCCAAAACAACGTCGCCTACATCTTGGACCGTCACAAGAAACGACTTCGATTACCTAAGGAGCGAAGTTCGGGTAACGCAACAGATCGACTGGCACTTACCTATTGGACGCGTTCGGCTGCTCAAGATAATATCGATGCCTTGGTCAAAATGGGAGATTATTATTTGGATGGCTTTGGAACTTCGAGTGGCCAGCCCCAACCTGAAAAGGCAGCAGCCTGCTATCAAACTGCCACTAACACACATTTGAGTGCGATGGCGATGTGGAATTTGGGCTGGATGCATGAAAACGGGATCGGAGTTTCTCAAGACTATCATCTTGCGAAACGGTTTTACGACCTGGCTCTGGAGACCAACTCGGAAGCCTCCCTTCCTGTTACATTAGCCCTGATGAAGCTTTACATTCGATCGGTATGGGACTACGTTATCCATGGCGATTCGAAATATCTGCTAGTGTTTACGTCCGCAAGTGATGAACAAAACGGTTCGGGATGGTGGAGCTTGCGTCGACTGCGAGATGAACTGACTCGAAGATGGTTAGGCATTTCACCACCCCCAGGTGCTAACCCTACTGATGAGGCAGAAGTGAACGTCCCAGCCGATGGGGAAGGGGCTGCTTTTGACGCCGCTGCGACACAAAGAGCACTCGAACAGGATGAAGACCCCTTGGAGTGGGCCCGAAACGCCAGAGAACGAGACCGGATGTTGGGTGAAGGAGAAGAGGAGGATGACATGTTTCTGGCAGGTAATGCCGGTGATGATTTTTTGGAAACAGTTGGAATTCTATTTCTTTGTTTAGGCCTAGGGTGCGCACTTTCTATACTTTACGATCTTGACTTCTACCACATGAGGCATGTGTTGTATCTTTTGGTGTGGCTACTAATATAACTTTCAATACAGGGCGTTCGTATTCTTCCGCCAGCAAAGGGAACAGGCCAATCTTCGAGCAGAAGCCGAGCAACAACACGTTGAATTGGATGATGCACTCGAAGAGCTCATTCAACCTCCAGCACCCGTCGCACCTCCAGCCAATGACCCTAACGATGCGACTCCGACAGAAGATCTGGCTGATTTGGCAGCAAGGATACGGACAACTAGCGAGATCGCTGGTGCCGATGGGGAGACAAGTAACCAGAGGCAGGGAGAACAGCCAACACAAAATGGTCAAAATCAAGACGGATTGAGAAGGAGGACGAGAACGGATCAAGAGGATGGAAACTAAATCGATCGACTTGCGTCCCACCCAACCTAAAATGACTCGACTCTCGATGCAGATTGAGTGATCTGCACTGAATACTTAGCTTCGGGGCTAGTTCTCCCTCTCAATTAAGAAGGCAAGACGGGTCAAATAGAAGATGTGTATAAATATATATAAATTTCAAGATAGAGAAAAATCATCGCTGTACATTAACAATCTGACTAACCGGCCCTTTGCTTGATCCTTACCCACAAAGCCAACTATGCCGCTACACTGTCCGGTTCACTTCAAAGGGGTGTTGGTCTTGTTTTCAGAACGACATAGAGGGGCAAACAATTTTCGATTTAACAATGGTTGTTGTTTTGTTCTCCACGCAAAATCAAATCTCTCTCCTCCCGCATCATTACTCTCACTCTCTAGTCTTTCAAAAATTTGTCGGAATGTGTTTTGTTTTGTTCTTTTTTTTTTGATGAGAATGCATGCACTTGTCTTTTTTTCCAACCAAAGAAATCAGGCATCGTGAGAGTACATCTCTGAATGATTGAGTGCTTGTAGTATCTGATCTACACATTTGCTTGTGGATGACTGTCAGTCTGGATATTGTACAGATCTTGGGATTGGTTTGATGGGAATGTGGCGAGTTTTGGTGCAGGGACTTGTTGCCTCCAAGCAGGGAAACCCATCGAAATGACTTCCTTCCATCTTCTCCTTCGGCCATCCTCACTCTGTCTTCGTCCTACTCCCACCCGTTTCCGGCAACCGAGAAGAACAATCGCCCCTTCATCCTGCACTTTCGCCTCATCGTCACTCAACAGCAGCACACCTTCTTCCTCAACCTTTTCCGCACAGTCAACAGTCCAGGAGTTGGGCATAGAATCAGCCGAGCAAGCCAACTCATGGATCAGCCAACTCTCCGACTTCCTGATCTCCCAACCTCTCCAGCCCCTATCCTATACCACAACGGTCATCCTAGCGACGATCTTAGTCAGATCCACCACGACCCTACCCGTCTCGATTTGGTCACGGCTTCGAATCAATCGGTTCGAACGGATCGTCCTGCCGACTTTTAAAGCCTTCAGGACCAACCTAGCTCTCCGAGCCAAACGGGCCTTCCTTGACCCTGCACAGATCGCGGTCTACCAACGACATCTCCAATCAAAGCTGAAGCGCGAGTTGGACCGTCTGATCTCGGAGAACAGATGTCGACCATCGGTGACGATCATGGGCTCTCTGGGCATACATGTGCCGGTGATTTATGGGCTGACGACGGTACTTAGGACGGCCTGTGAGCGGGTCCCTCCTGGCTCTCCACTCGCCATCGAGCCCTCTCCGATCCTCGGCGACAGCTTACTCGAGCCCGATCTGGCCCTCGCCTTGGTCTGCTGGGCTGCCTTCCTGGTGAACATCGAGCTCAACGCAAGCTTCCGTTACCTCCGGAGATCCTCCGCCTCCTCAGATTCATCAACTCCTAAGACTGCCCAGACCAGAAACCAGGCTTCATTCATTGCTAGAGGATTGAGCTTTTGGACCCCTGAGAAGATCCGCTCGGCTTCCTTTCTGGCCGGGATCGGGATGATGGGCATTTCTTCTTCTCAACCCGCTGTAAGTCTCTCTCCGATGTCTCAGAACAAAAAAAAGAAGTACAAATAACCGTTAGAAATCGACTATTGTATTGATATGTTGCTCTAACTCTTGGCTACGCTGCGAATCGATCGATGACGATAAAACAACCTCCAAATTGATCAGCTGGTACTCATCTATTGGCTGACTTCGAACTGCTTTTCGATCCTCCAGAGCGTCTGTTTTATATACCTTGACCACCGTCACAACCTCTTGAAATCCAGCTCAAAAGATCAGCCGCTGGTCTCTCCTCCCAAACACCCTCAACCCGTCCCAACAGCTACTCATCCACAAATTAATTCAAGACCTTCGACGGCTCATCCGCAGGGTAATCGTCAGTATTATAAACAGTCATCACGTGGTCCGAAGCCCGTGAAGCCTGCTTCTTGATCTCTACCTTCACGTCTTTGACCGAATACATTGTTAGTTATATATCTTCCAAAACTTTGTTGTTTGAATTCCTGATCATTAACCTGTTTCTCTTGACACGGAGATTACTCATGTACTGGCACGTCTATAATCATTGTCACTTGTCCATTTCATCTCAAGGGTGAAAACCCAAAGACCAGAGAGAAGTAATTGTTGATCAGGCAACAGGTCATATAGCAGCTTTTTTATTTTGAAAATAAAAGCAATAATCTTCAAAAGCTGGTGTCATCTCTGGTAATCCAAGTAAATGCAGATTGAGATACTAGTAAACATCTCACCTTGAGGGCCCCAAGCCGTACAGTGAAATGATTATGGTGTCCAAATATGAATATGGAGTTGTTGGTATAAAAATATAAAAGAATAAAAAAGTGAGACTTGAAAGGGGCCTGTCAGCATACTTAAAACTCTAAGGCTCCGTTTGGCAGTCCTTTTTATCATAAGAAAAATATGTAAATCCGGATAATCAGAATAAGGTTGATAAACCTTAAACCAACTATCACAAAGCTAGACAATCCTCTGCTTATTACAGGGGATTTTTGGTGTTATAGGGTGACCAGCCAAGCACAATTTTCACTGATGATAATAACTGTGGTCCCCCAAAAAGATTTGCAGGATTTTCCTATGATATTTTATGATATCATGGATGGACTGCTAAACGGAGCCTAAATGACAGGTCCCAGCCAAAAGTGAGAAGAAGTATGCTGTCAAGTAGTGTCAAGTAGAAATTTACATATTCAATTCTGAACACCATAAATGATCTTGATTCCTTATTTTTTTCCATAATTTGTGTCTGTGAGAGTTTCTGTTATGACTGGGTTTGCGGGAGAGAAAGATGCAGCTTGGGATTTTCAGTCCTGATTTTGAAGATTGCAAGATGGGGAGAGAGTCAAATTTTGTTGGAATTGTGCCTCTTTTCTTCTCATCCCCAAAAAACCCATCTATCTCATCTTTAAAAATAAAGATGTTTAGATAAGTAATAATACACATGATTTTTACTTTGTTTTTTGATGGCTTCTGCGTAATATTTTGTCATGTTGTCTAGTGCTGAAATCCTTGTAGTCTTTGAACCCTGGTCTAGTCTTTATCAACTTTCATTTATTCCAGTCATCTGTTCAAGCATATGTTAATCTTTGTTATTCATTTTGATATTCATTTTTTCTCAACCACATGTTTGAGCTCTTGTATGTAGACTATTTAACGCATAGTCTCCTCTAAGTTAGAGATGGTTGAAGGGTATCCGTCGCGGATACCCGTTATCCGCTGGCGGATACCCGCCTGTGCCAACGGATACCCGCCAGCGGGTGCGGATTTGGGTGCGGATGGCCCCTTTTCCGCAAATTGCTGGCGGGTATCCGGGTATCCCAAAGGATACCCGCGGCCGGAAGGGGAGATGGCCGGCTGGAAGGAAGCCCTTCCAGTCAACGAGGTACATGTACCTCGCCGGCTGGAAGGAAGCCCTTCCAGTCAACGAGGTACATGTACCTTGCCGGCTGGAAGGAAGCCCTTCCAGCCGGTCCGTTGCCGGCCCTTTAGAGGGCGGGTATCCGAGGATACCCGCTCGGATACCCGCTGCGGCCGACGGATACCCGCTAGCGGGTGCGGGTGCGGATGTGGATGTGCAATTTCGCTAAAATCGCCATCGGATATCCGCATCCGAACGGATATCCGGATGCGGACCAACCATCTCTACTCTAAGTAAAAAACTCATTGGCTCTCTCACTCTTTTTCTGACCCTTATGCCACTCCAACAAAAAATGATTTTTTGTTGCCCAAAAATTCTCTTTGTTCACAGTTACATTTTCTTCAAATTTCTCCCCTTGGTATGAGTAATACATGTGTATAGCCATGATAGTTGTGTGATCCCTACAGATACATACATGTAAGATCAAAACAATTTCTTGCACGTTGTATTTCCATTAGCTGGTCAGTTAATACCCCTGTTGGAAATGATAATAATTGATTTGATCTTCACCTTGCATAACTCCTTCCTCACCCCTTCATTTGCTTGATCAAGATTAGCAAAACTGCAATTCTATTTTTGCTACCTGCTTTGGAATTTCACTTTTGTGGATCATTGTTGAAATTTTAAGACTCAGGCGCGTAAGAGGATGAGGGCCAAAAAAGGAAAGGACTCTTCTTTGGGAAAGGTTCACGGAAAGGAGTGTGAAGAACCGATGATTTTTATTCACTGTAGGTAGGCTAGCTTAAGTAGACTAGTTACAAGTGGTCAAAATGTGGTTTGAGAAAAATGAATAAGAAAAAAGTATTTTGAATAAAAATTGAGAGAAGATAAAACAAGTTCTTGGAAGTAACAAACTATGCAAAACATCTCATTCTCTTTTAGTAATGTCAGATGAGTTAATCAAGAAAAAATGTTTTAAATCACAGATAACAAGAGGCGTTAATTCTTATTAATCAATCTTTGATAAATCAATAATAAAGTCAGAAAAAAGAAGAATCCATCTTAGAGACATGAGTAGTTAAAAAGGCTGATTTACTTAAGGTTCAAATTTGACTCAGAAGGGGGCTCAGAATAACCAAAAACAAGCTACTTGAAGAATATAATCTAGTCTGATTTAAGATGACTAGAAATGGATGAAGGGCAGAGAGAGACAGAACTGAGGAAAATTCAACAATCATCTCTCCTTTTTTTCCATCCATACATTTCTTTCTTGTTTAGTCCTAAGTATGAAAGATGGTCACTTCCTTTTATTTTTCTCTACTGAAATATGCATTCTGAAGAGTTCTTAAAAATTGAACAGTTTTTGGTCAGATTATCCAATTTGTGATGTGTTATATCACAAATAAGCAACTCATGCTCACTAGTTGAAGATTGGATTTAAGAAGATAAGAATTTGAAGTAGCTCCCCTACAACCCTTTCTGGAGTGGTACGCGGCAAAAAGAAGTTCCTACAAGTACAATAACCTTTTCAAGCTGGCAATTGAATGCTAAGGTTGAAAAGAGGTTAGTCAGCCTGCTTCATTGTGGCAATGACACCGTGTGCGTGTTCATTCCTAACATAATTTTGCAGGTTTTTTTTTATTATCAGAGGCTCCACAGAGAGAGATACCACCCGGGTTGAAAATTCCATCACTGAAAACTTGAAAGGCCACCATCGGCGTCCTTCCGGTCCCCTAGTATCCCACCCGCGACCGACTCGGATGACCGGGGGTTCGGGGACTCGGGCGAGGTGCCGAGGTTGGTTCGGTCCTTCGGAGGTGTATTCCGAGCCGGCAAAGACAAAGACCAGGCGCGTTTGTCTGATGTACTGCTTCCGGAAATGGTCCACATAGTTGTGCGAGGCCCTGCTCGTTCCATCCCACTATTCCAAGGTAAGAAGTTTCCAACTGTCTGTAGATCTCTCCAATTCAACTCTGGTCCAAATGTCTGACATGTTGCCTTTATAACTCAGGAAACCCTTCTCGGTAGGACATCGCGCATACAAGCCAAAAACCACATGGAGCCGCCAGTGGGAACCATATCTCAGACGACCTCGTCCCAGCCCTCGAGAAAGGATTCCATGAGGTTTGATGACCGCATGAAGGTGAGTCGAACGCACAGGCTTTCGGTTGTTCATGACCTTTTCTTACCTCTATGGCTAACAAACTGCTCTCAAAAGTCTTTCGAAATCGTTCTTAAAAGTCTGGACGGATGTCGGAAGGATGAGAGTCTAATCGGTTCTCGTCTCCTAAATCCATCTTCTGGCCACTTGGCTCTTATCTTAGAAATTTTGTGGGATATTCAACGGAAAGATTCACTCGTTGGGCTCATTGCTCGTGGATTCGATCGCCACCAAATCGCAAGGGAGCCCCCAACTTCAGAAGCTCAGTTGCCACCTGACCTGCTCAACTTAAAGAATGATACCAAGCTAGCGCGTCGTATTCATCTTGCAACCCTATCCGTCCTGTGGATGCGAGTGGTAAGTGCTTGGAAAGGAGACAGTTGGATGTCTGAGGTTCTTTTCCGCATACACGAGTTCACTGAAAGCTTCTTTATTTTTCGTAACAGCATTGTCTTCACGCAATACTAACCGACCTCGCAAAGGATGAAGATCATCAAGCGTTTCACTGCTACCCCAGTCAACGAGTTTTGAACCGCTACTTCAGTCTTTCGCCATCTGGTTATCATCGCACAACTCTATGTCCATATCTATCGCGCCTGCTGGCCACTCCATCTAGCGCGGCTGCTTTCGTTGAGGCTGCCGAGGGCTTCGTTAAGATTTGGAAGGCTTTACCCATGTATTTGATGAAACGGCCTCGAGGAAAATCAGCCACTACACTCGGGAGCTTTCCGGACATGTCGGCTCAACTCGACAACTTGGCCAAAGCCTTGGATATCTCAGAAACTTACTCAGACCCTCTCGATTTAATCAAGTCCTCAACTCATATCTTGATTCGACAGACCCTTGATTGGACTCTGGATGCCTACCGCAATGCAGCAACGGTTACCAAAAGGGCATCGCTTTTCAAATCTCGTCCGTCTATCCCCCCGATTGAATCTGAACCACAAGTGGCTTCCACAACTCAATCTGAACCACAAGTGGCTCCCACAACTCAATCTGAACCACAAGTGGCTCCCACAACTCAATCTGAGCTACAAGTGGCTCTCCCTACTGAGTCTACATCGCGAATAATGAGGCCTTCTCAGAATCCCAAAAAACATCCACGTGAAGCAGCGTCCTCTCACCCGTCAACAACGACTACCGAGTCATCCCTACATACCGTACCCCGCTCTTCAGCCCCCAGTATCCTAGCCGAGTCCCCAAGCACCAATCACGTGTCTCGTTCGCCTCCTCAACGCATCAATCAAATTTCACCAACAAATTGTAATTTGAGTCTTTCTAAAGAAGCTCGCCCCCATACACCTAAACAGACAAACAACCCCGACAACCAGTCTCAAGCCATTGAAAAGACAGGTACATCGAGTGGTGACCCATTACCACCAAATGTAACCGGCCTCGATCATTCTCAACAGGAAATGCCTGCTGACCGTCGGCCCGCTTCTCCAACCCTGGAAATCATAGATAGGAATGATCAATCAATTCTCTCTGCAACTGCCTCGCGTGATTCTCCCAGAGCAAAAGACACTGCGGGCCAGTATCCGGTGCCTTGTTCTCAAACTCCCAAAAACCTCGTTGCAACAACTCCTTCCGCAACCGATTTACATCTTGACCAGCACGATTCTGACCATTGTCAAATCGTTTCTGACCCAGTCCCGAACAAATCGGCGGCCAGCCATGGCCGATTGACTTCTCCTATTAGCGAAAACCATCCTACCCCATCACCAAAGAGCCCCGACGGTCGCCCGCTATCTTCTTCCCCAAAATCTCGCACTGCTACGAGCCAGCCAGCCCCTTCGATCCCATTGCGCCGCGAGCTGTCTACGGAAACGCACCAGAGCTCGCTGCAGAGGACGAACGATGTTGGCGATGAGGGTCTGACGCCTCTCTCGCAGACTCTGGATGGCCCAGTAGCCCCAAGCGACTCCGAACCAATCCTCTCAGTACCCAGAACGAAAGCGCGGACCGCTCTCCAAGATAGTTCTGTTGAATCATCTTCACTAAGTGCCAGCTGTTTTGTTCTCCCTCCAGGTAACAAGGATGCGTCGCAAAAGACCAACGATCCTTGCAATCAAGGGCTGACACCTCTCTCTCAAACTCTCGTTGGCTCGGCAGCGCCAAGCGACACTCAACCAGTTCCTCCAGTACCTGGAACAGAACAACAGAACACTTTTGATGATTCTGTTGAAGTACCACATTCGACTGAGAAACACCTGATACAACCATTATCTGAAACACCTCGAGATTGTGCTTCTAAGGAACCAACTATTCAGCCGAAGGCAGGACCACGTCAAGTCCCTTGTGAGTCAACATTGAACCCATTCAATGCAACTACGAATGTTTGTTTCAATCGGCCATTGCTTACCCACGTAATTGGTTTCTGCAGCTCATGACCCCATTCAAGGTCCAGCTGATGTTACTCAGGTGTCCAAGTTCTCCAGCCATTCGGTGTTGCGTCCGGATCTTCGAACCCCTTTCTCTTCACAGGTTAGTTACTCTGATATCCAAACAGGGGTTTTCTTTGACTGACATCAGTCTTATTGGCAGCATGTGAGGCATTCTCTAGGGCTTCTCCATGAGAGAAGCGCGGCAAATTCAAAGGCCACGGTTGATAAGCCCAGCAAGAAGAGGCAGCGACGATCCACCGATTGTGGAAACCAGGCGAGAAGAAAGCGATTGCAGATTAACCCATTCGTGATGCTCGAAAATCAGACGTACGCAAATGATATCTTGAAAGAATTCCGGGACGATCCACGATTGTCGAAGGCATATGAACAAGCGAGACAGATCGCAATTCAGATCAACTCGGAGGCTATTGACGATTCCCAATCTGATTCAAAGTGTGATGACAGTGGCTCTGAATCGGCAGGGAGCGGTAGTGTAATGGATGATGAGAACGCTCAACTGGATCCTGCAATTGTCGAAAAATTGAAAGCCAATGCAGCTCAATTTGTCAAACCTGAGAAGAGCTATTTTTCCATGTTGCTAGAGAAGGCCAACTCTGACTTGAAGAAGTAGCCTATAAATTTCCTTGTAAGGTTTATCCGTGTAATATGATCTATTTGTTTTTTTACTTCTTGATATCTTGGTCTATATGTATGGACGGTGATAAAAGCAAACTGTGTACAATAACAGTGTACACCATGCATTGACAATATGTAAATGAGTTTTGCTATTACAGGGATTTGGCCCAATGTCACTTGCCAACGAGGTTTGAAAAATGAGAGAAAGGCAGCTGAAAAATGATGTATATGAGCCGGTACAGATGCGGGTAGCTAAGGAGGTATTTCCAACAAACTTGGCAGTCCCATCCAACACCATTACCACACTTGGCTGTTGTACCTCATTGGCTGAGAGGAATCCCTTTTGGTTAGTGAGGTACCACGACCTCACCGACGGGGGATTCCTTCCGGTCAGTGAAGTAACTGTACCTCATTGACCAGAACAAATCTCTTCCGTTCAGTAAGGTACAGCTGAGCTGCCTCAGTCACCGGAAGGGATTCGTTCTGGTCATGTGGGAGCAACCCCCAAACGGAAACCCCATGCGTGAGGGGTGGTTTGGGCAGCCAACTCCCCCAAAAAATAATCAAAAAATTAAATAAAAAAAATTGGGTGGACGACTCCCAAAACCGGCCCAACATTTAGAAGATGACTCCCAACGGATGTCTGTCAATGGTTGTTGTTGGCTAAAAAATGGGAGTCAATGTCATTTTTCACATTCAGGTTACAAGATCTATAGTTCAAGCATTTCAATGAACCCTCAGACTTCTTATGGATTTATCAAATGATTGCAAACTCAACACCTGCAGATCCTATCCAAAAGAATGTGAGTGATTTATGTAGTTCCTTCTTTGGGATTGATCTTATAGTTTTTAAATCTCAGTGAAAGGTGGCTGACTTGTTGGAATGGATATTTCTGTCCAAACTGTTCATGGTGCCTTCCAACACCATCTGCCAAGGAGGCCAAATTCCAATCTGGCCCATCATCACTTTCGAAGACTTGAAGGCCTTTGGTGAGGTCATCACCTGGCTGCCACTCCAGGGTTTCCGGTGCTGTGTTGTTGAGCACTGGAATGGCCTTGAAGCTTGAGAAGTAACACACCAACTGCCAGAAAAAAAGTGGGAAAAAAACAGTTTTCTGCCACTTTCCAAACATGTGAATTTGACATACATAAATAAAACCTTATCAGTTGATAAGAGGAGAGGGATTGTATCTGACAGTGTCACAGAAATAGTATGATATGCATTTTTGATTGTAGATCATGATGAGCAACTTTGAATGAAACCTCTAACTTAATGAGGTCCCTCAATTATGTAGGGACTTCATTGAGTTCCATGCCTGTGGTATACTAATATAAATGCAAAAAGAATTGCATGAGACCTTTTGACAGGCTCATTCTACAGGACCTCAACAGACCCATCCAATTATCTCCTCTGTGGTCATTAAGAGCCAGCAAGATTGGCTCCATCTGAAAATAATAATGAGAAGGAAGAATGATCAAATCATGTAACACAGGCTTTGAATTAATTAGGAAGTTCACCTGGATATAATTTGGGCCCTGTAACCAGACAAAAAATTTGTTATTTGGTTGGTGTGATTAATACCAAGATTTGACCTATTAGATGGCGTCAAATATAAAGAAATCCACCATAAGTTAATTGACTGGTGGGGAAAAATCCACTATTTTTTAAACATGCTGGTTATTCACCCACCCCCTTTGAGGACCATGCAAAAATTCTATTTGCTGAAAAAACCTTGTTTCTAGTTGTGGATTTCTTATATTGATACCCCCCAATGTTTCCTAATTGGAAGGTGATTTTTCTTTGATGAACCTTTCAAAACCAGACACCCTCAGATGTCTGTTTGAAATAAAGAGCCAATGGAAATCTCAAATGAGTCAGGACATGTTGTTATTTCAATGTCCTTCCAAAAATTAATAAATTGGCCATATTGCATGGATATCATCTGAATAAACTTTTATCAATTTATCTTTCTACTTCAATTCTCAAGTGATAAAATGCACATTGGATAAAACTGATAAAAGTGGTAAAATTTGATTTCTAACCAGAGAGAACAAAAAACTAAGCTATTGTTTTAATCTTTTTGCTGTTTTATTATAAGAATCTGGTTGATTTTGTTTTCTTTTGTCAATTTGATGCCTCTGTTGAAATTCCACAAATTTTGTGTAGTTTCTAAGAAAGGAATGAACCATAATCTCCCAAAAAGCTTTGTCTTCTGGGAAACAAAGATTCCATTGACTTATATGGAAGCTCTTGTACCAACAGCCATTCAGGAAGATGGAGAGCTGTACTAAGTTCCTGTGTGAGCCAGAATTGCTAAAATAGTTGACCACCAGGATTTGGAGCTCTCCAAACTTTGTCCTGTCAAGTGGTAGATCGACCTCTTTGACCTTTCCAAAAACCGGCAGACTTCCCTTTGGATTGAATAACTCAAATTTGACCCATTCCATAAACCCACCCTCAGCTTCATTTTTGTGCAGCAAATCAAATCTTTTAAGTGCAAATCTTTCCGAGATATGTTGGCTCAGAAGACGGTGAAAAAAATCTAAATAAAGCAGAAGGTTTTTGGCTCTGGCTAATAATTTGGCAATTCTGATGCTTCCTAAACATTCATTTGTGATTTTGATTGATTCTAAAATCGGACTTGAAGAGTCTTTTTGATATTTTGTGTTTGAGAACAATAATATGGGAAGATTCTGAAAGATCCTTGTTGAATCCCGGTTACGTGGAATGCTTTCATTGAATTCTTCAATTTTTTGAAGTATTTCTTCTGCTGTTCCTTTCAAGCCAGTGATCTCATGACTATACTTTCCTGGAAGTATCTCTTGTGGTAAGTCCTCTGATCTCAGAAGGAGGAAATCCCTGATTTTGAATGAAGGCTCAACTGAGCGCTTAACTTCCTCCCTAAATTTCATCTTTGAATATATTGCCTTCATTAGCAAATCTTTTGAAAGAAATGAAAATGGTGAATTTTTAGAGACTTGCATTAGAAACTCAAAGATAGGAGAATTGAATTTCTCAAACCATTCCAAAAGTAGCAGGCAAGCAGTTGAGATGCACGATTCAATGTCGGAGGTAGGTTTGGATAAAAATCTGAGGATAGATTTTTGGACCTCTCCAAATGTGTTTTGATCTCTTGCAAAGTCTGGTTTTTCAATCAATCCAAAAACAGGCAGACTGGAGGTCGGAAAAAATGTTTCTATGAGTAACCATTCTATGATTTGATTATGTAAAGAGCTCTCATTATTGGCACTGCATCTTGGATCAAACCTCCTCAGGGCAGCCATGCTGACCAAAAGTGTCCAACTGATCAAATGCTTCATGTGAATCAAAAAAACTTCTTTATCATAGAATCTTCGATTTCTTGGATTTACAGGACGGACCAAGCCATTATATACACCCACTGGTAGGTCTTGGAACTTGAATTTATCAGGACACATTTGCTTATTTTTACACCTTGATAGGGATTGATATGTCTGAGCAAACTGCTCAAGAAAATTTTCCAACAGAGGATGTTGCATATTTGTTATGTCGAGAGGTCTCAGGATGTGCAATTTACTAGTGATAGGCATCTTGGAATATCCCTCATTTCTGTGAGCGTTCTCTCTGTGAATACGATCAACTTCATCCTTCATGAAATTCACTTGGTTTTTCGGTTTTCTTGAAACCACGCCAGGAAATGGACCGGTACCAAAACGTTGATCCAATGCACTAGTACCAGCTTGATACCTCTCGCTAGATCTCAACCCCGGTCTATATCTCTTATCCGGTTGACCTGAAACGAGATGCTTCAATTTCCATCAGCCATTGCCACTTGCACATTTTGCTGGCCAATCAGCTTGAGCCATCAAGTTTCTGCTTACCAATACCAGAGAATTGAATGTCTTCCGGTTTGTATCTTGCCCTTAATTGGTTTGGGACCTCTGGCTCCAGAAGCGATTGGTATTCAACCGGATGTGGTTGATAGTGTCCGTTTAATCTACCACCATCGCTCCCTAGGGGATAGAAAAGTGTTTGGGCTATCAAAGAGCTCAATGTTAAACAAGCAAAACAAGACCCTCTATCAAATTCAGAATCCGCAAAGCCGGAAGCCTGACCTTCCAAGGAATCCTCAGCTCCACTTCTGAGGTTTTCAAATGATGGTAAGGCCGGTGAGAGGAGCGCTAATGATTCTCTCCAAGAACGTTAGCGATTCAGTTCCTATTTTTAGTACTTTTTATTCTTAGTAAAAAGATAACCGACTTGTTTCTTGACCATCATGGGTTTGCTGAAGATGAGGAGCTTGAATTGGGTCAGTCTTTCCCCACTGAGCAAGCTGCGACCCGATTCCATCTTCCCATGCATCGAGGTTCCAGTCGGACGGATCATCGCTTTCGAAGGGTGGAAGACCCTTGGTGAGGTCATCACCTGGCTGCCATCCTAAGAGTTGCTCCGCTGGCTCATTGAGTATTACAGGGGTGGCCTGGAAGCTTGAGAAGTGCATCACCACCTGGCTGAAAACCAGGGGGGCGAAAAAGGTTGTATGTCTCTTTCTAGACATGCTGAAGGAGGAAAGATAGCGCACTCCTGCTCCGGCACTTTTCATGGACTTGGCGGCCCCACTAGAACCAGTCGGAGTTTTTGCGGCTATTGGATCTCGTACTAATTGATTAGAGCGGAGTGACAGCATCTGATTTCGTGACGGAAACAGTCTGAAACAGTATGCTACATAAGCGACTCATTTCTAACCAAGCAACTTTGGGTTACGCAACTGGTCAGACATAGATCCAAGTGACCGGATGCTTATAAGTTCGTCATGTTTCAGTGGTTGATACGTTCAGGCATCGTGAGCTCTCTAAAGTGGGATTGTTTGTGCCACGAAGTACACTTAAGAATGAATATATTTACATAAATGCTTCACGTGTGAAGCCGGATGGGCTAAAAGTTTGATCGAACCGATTTATACGCGGTATCGTCTGTCTCGAGGGGCGAAGGAGCGCCCGACCTGCTGCGAGGGCAGAATGAATCAACTAGCTTCCCATTCACATGCCTGAATTTACTCAAGGGGAGATTGTGGAAGTCGTGTTCCGATCAAGTGCTTATCGTCTCGTTTGAGAATAGATTGAAGATAGCTAAATATTAGGATGAAAGAAGAGGAACGGTTGCGCTGAAAGTCTAATAATAATAAAAAAAATATGCATAATACAATAAAGTTTTACAGGAAAAAAATCGTGACAAGTAATCAAGATTTTTGCGGGTTTTGAGTGGATTTTGATCTGGCTTTGGAGCTCTCACGTTTCCATTCGATTTTTAATTGTTCTAATTCATCTAAATAATTAGCTCTACGGAAAGCTGAACAAAGCATAGAATACAGCGGCTTCCTGAACCTTCGAAATTGTTGTCTATCTAAAGTTGCTCCATGGGTGGGGTTAGATTGATCGAGTGAGACATGTTTGATATTCGAGATGTCTTCCTTGGAATGGTATGGTGATCGGCTCAGAAAGCTACGAACTAGAATGTTTCTTGTGACTTCATCTGATTTCATATTGGCTTTCTGGATCTTTTCCATGGTTTCGAGTAACCGCTCCTCGCGTTCTGCTCTGCTTGCTGATTCGTTCCAAGGGTAGCTTTCTGCATCATGAATGGTCTTCTTGGCACTGAGGAGGATATTGGAGGTGTATTCGTCTGGGATGTAACCCTTTGAGACGAGCTCGGGCAAGGCCTCGTAGGCGGACTGAAGCCCTCTTCGACGACCGATCGAATGTAATAGAATTCCGTAAGTTTTTTGTTTTCCGCCATCCATAAGAATCCTGCGGCGTTCCATATTATGAATGATTCTTGTCAAGTCTTCAACATGACCAAGCCTTGATTTCAAGCTCAGATAGAGATTGTGGGCATCATGATCTGGAACAATATGGGGATGTGAGACCAGAGCATCCCACACCGAGCAAGCCGAGTGCAGCAGTGGTCGCGGCGTTCGCCTGTCCCACACCGACATACACGCCTTGAATTGATCCAACGTTTGTAATTCCGGTGGAAGCTCCGCTAAAAGATCATGGGCTATCGAAAGATGCTGATGTGAGGCGCACGTGCTCATCAACCGATGAAGAAATTCAGAGGCAAAGGATTTTGAGAAGTTGGGGTGTTGGCGGAGTACTTGAAGAACCATAGCAGCAGCGGGCTCGTGGCAGCTCATTCTTAAGAGTGCGTCGCAAAGAATCTCGATCGATTGTGTCATACATTTCATACAATCGGTTTCTTGATTAAATGAATCGGTAATTGCCTCAGAAAGTTGAAGGAGCACCTCGATTCTAGCGTTTTGAGTTTTCAAGGACGACGAAAACAGGATTTTCCGGGATGCAATTCGAATGATTGAGAGAAAATCGGATCGTCTCAAATTTCTCTGACGACTCAGTAATCGTTTCAAGACCGTCCAATTTTGATATTTTAAGGTAGCCAAGCCGATCGATTTAAAGATCCTCGCATCAAACTTGCTCGACGGAAACCGCTCGTGGAATCTTTGAGCTTGTTCGGCGTCTCCGAAGATCGTGAGGATTTTGCTAGGATGGAGAAATAAGAATTCATGGGTGATGTTGAGAATTGTATTTTGATCTAATCTCTTCCCTTTCGGAGTATTCAAGAATTCGTTCCATTGCTCCCAGTGATATTTGACGCGCTTGTGGATTGAAGATTTACTGGCACGCCCCGCGTTCTCTTTGAGGGAGATAAGCTCTTTGAGGAGTAAATCCGTATCGATTTGAGTTGACGGTCCAGCCTCATTTGAGGGAACTTGTTCTTCGCCAATCGATTCCGACCCCTTAGTGGTAGCATTCTGATCATCATCCTTCGAACCACGTGGAGATACGCTGAGATTGATTGCCGGTGAGAAGACCGAGGATGCTGACGGGTTCTTCACTTTTGGTTGTGACGGCCTATGCTGGAAAAAGATACTAGTCAGGATGTGTCTGAGCGAGGTGAGTATGCTTGAACAATACTTCAGCTTGGACTCACATCAAGCTGGCTTGCGCACTACTGGCTCTTCGATGGGTTGCTGGCTTGAATGGACAGCAGCACAGTTTGCGGGGTTGACCATCGGCAAGGACAAGTTTGGATGAGCTGGTCGATGAACGGATAAGCCTTGCTGGGTTGAAGCAGGCCGAGAGTGTGATGACTTGGAACATGAGGCAATCAGCCCTGACTTCGCTGCATGCACCCCACCTGTGCTGTTCCTCTTGGCTGCTATTTATATAGGGGCCAGCACTGGGATTACCTAAGCACCCCCGCTACAAGGATATCACTCAACTAAAGACTAGTACCGAGGGCGAGTATCAACCATGCACCATCAGTTGACGGACTGCCCATAGCGGGGAACACAAGAGCCGCAATCTCATCATGTCAACCGATTCAAACAAAACGATCCCATCCTCATCACGTCTATTGGAAGCCACCAGACCGGTGTTCGATCGGCTCAAGAACTCTTCCATCGAACGTCGACGCAGAGCATCCTCTGAATCCATCTCAATCGATACTAGTGCATCCAGCTTGTCCTCTGTCGACCAAGAATGGGAGGAAAATATTCGACAACTTCATCTGCTGATCGATGTCATCCTGCTGCCTTGCTTCGGAAAATGGCTCGGGCGGACAACGGCTTCGTGGATCTATGCTCGTTACACTCAAAGCTTCGCAAACACGGCGATGGATTCGATAGGAGTACTGCGAAAGATCACTGGTCAGAAATGAAGATAATGAATGGCCTCAGTGTGAGTTTTCTCTTCTCTTCAGATCTACGGATTGAGACTGACGGAGTTTCAGCCGACCTTGCTCTATTGACCTAGTATAGTTTCCACTATGCCCACTTCAGTCCAATTCTAGCTGCTGGCGATCGGGAACTTATTCAAAAATCACACCTGCACTGTTCCATTTTACTTTTCCACTTCACACACGCTCCGTGTGCTCTCTATCAGTAGATAATCCACACTAAACTTTCAATGAACTTGTGATTTCAAGTAGATTCACATCCGGTTTTTTTTTGGCATTTTTGTTGTTGCTTATAATGTACTAATATTATTTTCCATTTCACTTGGCAAGTAAGGGCCCGCAAATATAAAGATCACCTTAGAACTTGGTTTCATTTCAACTGTGTTTTATTGATATTCATGGTCGTCCAGCACTCTAATTAATAACTAATCCCAGAATCTTCTAGAAACAGTCCGATTGCCCTAGCATACAATGTGAGTCAAGTTGAAAAATGATTTCCGAAGCAACTCCCAGAACATAATTATGCACAAGTTGAAAGGGCCTTCAGGGACAGCTAGACATGAGTCATATTTGAACTTTGGTCTCACATACATACCAACGGTAATGTTACAGCATACCCAAGAAAGCTTGCACTTTTTGCACGCAAAAAAAAAATTGTCCGCTCAAAAAAAATTTTTGTGGCTTTCTTCCCTGCAGCTGTCATCACGTACAGTGACATTTGAACAATAAGGTGTATGTATGTACAGACATACAGTCAGTGTCAGCACAACACAGACCAGACCCAAAACCAAGCACCACATCTCGCACTCATTGCTGGCTTTTTTAACTCATCATTCCGTCACGAGTTCCAACCAGCCCAATCATTTGCAACCTGTGAGTACTTGTCTTGTGAGCATGTCTCTTAGATGGCTGCTGATTTCAGCAATTTTCTCTACGGTTTAGCAATGCCGTTCGTAGATTATCAAGCGGCTTTCAAGTTCTTAGTGGTTAAAGCCGCGCTTGACGGTTGGAGCATAGACGATATAAATATCCGGCATGACACCACTGTCAGCACGTATTCCCTCCGCCGTTGGACCCAGTTGTACGAAAGGACAAGCTCCGTGGTATGTGATCCGGCAACGTATGCAACCATTGGGCGGCCAATGGCTTTATCGGATGAGGAAAGGCGGTTTTTATTAGGGCTGGTCACCTCGGAACCAACAATTTATCTAGCCGAGATTCAGCTATCATTACTCGAGGAGCGGAATATCAAGATCTCGATGCAAATGATCTCTAACGAATTACACAAGCGGCTCAGGATGTCTCAAAAGACTATGCAAAAGGTCCACCCAAAGCAGAACAACCATAAGCGAGGTGCTTATGTGGGTTTGATTGCATATCACTAGAGATGGTCGCGGATAATCCGTTACGGATATCCGTTATCCCCTGGCAGATACCCGCCAGTGCCAACGGATACCCGCCAGCGGGTGCGGATTCGGGTGCGGATGCCCCCTTCCCCCTGGAATCCTGGCGGATATCCGGGTATCCCAAGGGATATCCGCCCATACAGGAGGCCTTGGGAGGGCCACAGGCTGTGAGAAACAAAAGAAAAAATGGAAAAAAGGAAAAATAAAAGAAAAAATGGGGCATTAACAAAAAAACATGGTTTTTGCTGCGCGCACTGCGCAACAGACACATTTTTTAATTAATGTTTTTACTGCTTGTTTATTAGTATTTTTTGAAATTTGAAATTTATTTCTTATGTTTTAAAGTGCGTCGAATTCAATGGTAAAAAGCATTTTACATAAAAATTAATGGTTCTTTTTGAATAATGCAATTAGACACATTTTTTCAATTAATTTTTGACAGATTAATAAATAATTTTCATTATTTTTTGACATTGTAAATTTTTTCCCTTAATTTATTTTAATTAATTTTGCCAGCTTAATTTCCATCATTTTTTGAAATTTTGAATTTATTTACTACACTTTGAGTAGTGTCAAAGCTTATGGTATCATTTATTTTGACAAGAAATCAAAGCTTCAATCTTAATATATGAGTGTACCCCATTTATTGCATAATTAAATTATACAAATTATGATAATTTGTACCGTATACCAGTTTTATTTGTATGCAAAGTTGATATAACCATCCATTTTAAAAAAATAATGAAATTTAATCCTGTAAAAATTTACATGAGTTAGCTGCAAGAAACAAAAAAAATTGCAAAGGAAAAAGGAATTAGATTTTTTCCATATTTTTGGGAGGGTCACAGGCTGTGAGCAACAAAAGGAAAAAATAAAATAAGAAATAAATAATAAATAAAATAAATAAATAAATAAAAAACAAAAACTTAAAACCACTTTGCCAACTGCTCAACAAAAAAAAATTCAAAAGCAAAAAGAAATATAATTTTTTCCATTTTCCATATTTTTTGGAGGGTCACAGGCTGCAAGCAGCAAAGGAAAAAAAATGAAAAAAAAAAAAATTTGAAGGCTTGAAGGCCGCAAGAAATTCAAAATCAGTGTTTATGCAGCTTTCTGCATCCGAAATTTCCCCAAGAAACTTTCATTTTGCAGCCTGGGGGTCATTTTTGGGACGGATATCCGCGGGTATCCGCGCGGATACCCGCCAGGGCCAGCGGGTATCCGCCAGGGGATGCGGATGTCTGATTTGGCTGAAAACGTGAGGGGATATCCGAATCCGAACGGATATCCGGATGCGCTGGGCCCATCTCTACATATCACAGCCCGGAATCTTTGGTATTTACCGGTAAGTAATGGCTCCCTTGGCTTGAATCAGCCTGTTTCAGTCATGCTGATATTCTCTGTTAGATGAGTGCGGCATATGTAGCGACGGGGTCCGACGCACAAGGGGATGGGCTCCCGTAGGAGAGCGGACTTCTTGAATGCCTGTATCACGGGCCACACATCGTTTCAATGTCGTCCCAGCGGTGGCTTTGGATGGTCTGGTGACATTGTTGATTCAGGAAGAGACGATGTGTCGAAAGGGCTACGAGTTCTACTTAGAGCACATTCTGGTGAGTCGATCTCGGGATTGATGTATAATATTAAGCAACCGCTTCAACCGGAGATTCCTAATCGGGGATTTATCATCTTTAATCTAGTTGCCGAGGATGAATCCATTCCCTGCGCCTCGTAGTGTCTTGGTCTTGGATAATGCCTCCTTTCACCACAACGGCCGGATTGCCGACCTAGTAGAAGCACGCGGGTGCCGGATTGTTTACCTCCCTCCTTACTCACCAGATATGAACCCAATTGAGAAGGGGTTCAGTATCCTCAAGGCTTCACTGCGTCGGTATGGCCACCTAGACGGAGGCGTTGGAGACCGAATGGTTATAGAAACTCATGTTGAGTATGTCTTCAATGCGACACCAATGCGAAAGCTGTTCAGAGGATGTGGCTACATAGATTGAGCAAGATACACCTTACACCTTTCTCATATACTCTTCTCTGCTTCATGATACTGTCTTGGTCTCAGTCAGTCTGCTTAGCTTCTCCTGTGCAGATAGTCGTCTCAGCGGCTTTCTGAAAACTCTTCTGGTCTTCAATATATTGTCATGTTCTTTGTGTTTGTCATATCTTTTGTTAGAGGAAATGGAGATGATAAAGCTTAATTGCATGGTCCCTGAGCACCCAAAGGGTAACCAATCTCTTTCCCCTTGTTGGGTTGATTAATTACAAACAAGTTTTCAAGCTCACGAGGTGGTCATCAAGCGAGGAAGGCGGTGGCCATCAAGGAGATAAGCGGGAGCCTATTGAGGAAGAAAAATGAGTTGATAGATTGACCGAGGACAAATGAGATATGACAGATATTGAGGACCATTTCCACTGTTTCCAAAAAGCCGGTGGCTATCAAGGAGGTAAGCGGGATGCTATTGAGGAAGATGATAGAGTTGATAGATTGAGCGAGGAGAAATGAGATAAGACTGATATTGAGGACTATTTACAATGTTTCCAGAAGAGCGATCAAAGATGGATGAGGGGTTAAAGCAAGCCATTCAGACCCGGCTGCGATAATAGAAAGAAAAATACTTGATGGTTATGATAGCCTATTGCCTCGTGTGTGAGTGTGTGTTATTGGTAGTGATTGATGGTAGTGATTGATAGTGATATCCAAGCGGTGAACATGTGTGAGTGTGTGTTATTGGTAGTGATTGATAGGGGTATCCGAGCGGTGACATATTGGTCGGGGATTTAAAGAGTAGCCTGGGCACGAGCTTGGCTCTTCAAGCGATCTGAGTAGCGTTTAGCTGCTACAACAATTGTCCTTGCGGGTCCCATTGGGACCCCGGCGGTCATGAGCTCACTGGCTTCAACATGCCGGAACATGCTCCAATGGGTAATGCCTAGTTCGGCCAACCCATCTCGAACCGCCGAGCTGTTGGGGTCGACGCGAGCATATGTCAGAAATGGGGTAATGTTATTGTCGCCTTCATTGTCTGACGGTGCCGGGGAGGAGTCCGGCTGAGTGTTAGTCACGGCTTGGACGTGGTTGGGGTCAGGGTTGGGAATCCCACTTGGAGGAACCCCATGGGTACCGGGTGCAGGACCTTGATACGGGTACGGCGCATGATACCCCATTGGGGGGGGATACCCGTGAGGGTATGGGGGATAAGCGTACGGCTGAGCTGGCTGCTGGGGGATCGCGGCCGGAGCTCGCGGGTCAGAATCAAGAGGGCCAGTGATGTAGGTGAACATTGGTGTCTTGGGCGGGGTCCGCAAATCAACAGTCTCTGGGGACATGTGCTAGGGGTTCAATCAGGGCAATAACATTAGTAAGTACGTAAGTCAGACGATCAAGGTCCAAAAGTACTTACCATCGCTTTGCCCCAAGCCTCCGCGACGCGCATCGATATGACAAAGTACTCCTGGGTTTTCTCCGGGTTGACGAAGACAGACTTGTCCGAGCTACCGCTCAGTTGTGGTCGAGGAGTGTATGTTGCTAGGATCTGGCCGATGTATTCATTGATCTTCGCACAATCGATTGCCGCACTTGAAGGCTGAAAGGCCGGTTCGCCCGATGGACCTGGATTGTCAAGATCGTTTAAACCATCCAAAGCAGCCGCTCTCTGCAGATCAAGTCAGTGATCAATCTGACATGATAGCATGAAAAACCGGATTAGAAACCAGAACTCACTTCAGCCAAGGCTCTGGGATCCTTCTGATCCAACTTACAGGTCAGTTTTCAACCCTTGTTGGCAACTTCCCGGCATGCAGCAAGCCATGCACTGAAGACACCTGGTTGCGCCAGCTGCTTGTTTTTTGAGGCGGCAAATGGCCCACCATGGTGAATACTACCATACCAGTGGATATCCCCCGGACCCCCAATGACTCGATACGCTGCACAAAACCCGCTAGCCTTTTGTCCTCGTTGGTGACAATGGCAGCGATGACTGCCAATTTGAAAGAGGGAAGGTCGGTGTTTGAGACATCCCAGCGAATGGTTAATTTATCAACCTCCGATTTATACACCCGTGTTTTTGGAATATCCACACTGCCTGTTTTTCTCTTGCGCGACGAGGGTGGGTCGCCTTGGATGGGCAAGTGGAAATGGAATTCGATCGCAATTGTCTGTTCCTCGTGAATTGTTGCCGATGCATCTAAACGATCAGGGAGCGGGGAGGGGGGAGGAGATTGTCGGTCATCGTCCGAAGGAGCCCTGCTGTAGTCCTGAAGGAGGCCAATCTCATCATCTAGGTCTAACACATTAGACATAACAGCCGGAGAAGTTAGCTGGTCAATGACCCGAGTTGATCTGTTCGGTCTGGGTCCGCGAGGAGTTAGCTCCGCATTTGCCATCCGGGCACCTCGGTTTGGTGAGGCTTGAGAGGTTGTTCCAAAAGATGGGTAAGGATGGAACCTATTCGAAAGATCCACCACATTTGACTGATGAGACTCGCTCATATGACCCAATTGATGAGATCGAGCCGGTGACGAGGCGAGTGAGGGTGAGTGAGATCTGTCGGATGGATGGGTATTGATAGAGGTCGAGCTGGGTGTTGAAAACGAACGATTCGGATTCACATACATGTTGTGAAATTCTTGCGCAGTTAGACACTGAGCTTCCGCTGCTCGAGCGTCATTTACGGGACCATAGCTTTGGTGGACCGAGGATTGCATCGTTGTATAGGCCAAAGTTCAATTAGGCCCAGCAGGAAACTGCCAACATCGTTGACCATTTGCATCCAAGAACTCGAAGCTGTCGTCTACTGGGGTCATCGTGTTGGTCAGAGGGGTCAAAGGTAGAGATGGTCGGTCCGCATCCGGATACCCGTTTGGATGCGGATATCCGATGGCAATTTCAGCAAAATTGCACATCCGCATCCGCACCCGCACCCGCTAGCGGGTATCCGTCGGCCGCAGCGGGTATCCTCGGATACCCGCCCTCTAAAGGGCCGGCGACGGACCGGCTGGAAGGGTTTCCTTCCAGCCGGCAAGGCACTTGTACCTAGCCGGCTGGAAGGGTTTCCTTCCAGCCGGCAAGGTAAATGTACCTTGACGAGGTACATGTACCTC